CCGCCCCCATCATTTACTCAAGGGTCTGCCTGCCTTCTCGCCAGCAGGGGAAGAGGGTCTCCCTAACAAGCCCATGGGAAACTGGTGGGAAAAATTTCACAGGACCTACACGGGCTCAGAAAGTGAGGAAGGGAAGGAGGTGTGAAACCCAGGAGGAGCCAGGGGTCCTGTCCCGGGGGGGCAGAATCCCAGGCAAGTTTAGCCTGACTAGTGCTGACAAAATGATGACTTTGGTGACCAAAATAGCCTGCCTGCAAGGCTTGCATTTCTTTCACTGTCCATACTATGTTGTGCTGCTTGAAATTCCACCATTTAGAGCAACATCTTGGCAGAGGCTGAAATGAAAGGGGGAGGTGGGGGAAAAGGCACTCACTGGGCTGTTGGAAAGAAGATAGTGACTAACAACTGCAATACTTACTTATGGGGCATGGATTTCACAGAGCATTACTTCATTTAACCCTCATAGCAACTCCCTGAGATAGTTTTGATACTGTCCCCATTTTCCAGATGAGGAAACAGAGGTTTAAAAGTAATAGCTGGTTATGTGCCCAGGCTGGGGTCCAAACCCTAGTCTGATCTGACTGTGTGAAGCGCAACTCTTGCCTATTGAAACTCCCTGATTTCTTGCTCTATGCCCTCTTTCTGCAGATTATGGGACTGGCACCCAAGAAGAGGCTCTAGCCTAATAATATTGAGAATTATATTTTAGTTATATTATGGCTTACTCTTAGGTTTGCATGGGCCCACCCAGGCACTGGATAGCTTGATTTATAACATTGTTTCCGTAGGAAATTGTGTCACTTGCTACCAAAGTGGTAAAATATAATCCCATCATATTACCATAAATTGTGCATTACCTAAAATTATAATTTAACAAATGCTCACTCTTTCTTCTAGATGGCTTCTTGTCACACAAAAATTCCACCATCCTAGCCCAAGGCAGTTCATGTTTAGTTTAGTTTACAATACTGCTTGAGTGTACCACACTGTACATCTACTAGGATAGTATGTGCCGTGAAGGCAAAGGCGTTCGTCTATTATGTGCACCAGGGATTTCCCAGCACCTAGGACAGTGCCTATGGACAGGCAAATGTAGGCGCACATTAACAATTTGTTGAACAAACAAATGCTTTTGGCTCGCAAATTTTATTTTATTTTTTATTTTTTTAATGTTTATTTTATTTTTGAGAGAGAGATACAGCATGGGCAGGGAGGGGCAGAGAGAGAGAGGGAGACAAAGAATCTGAAGCAGGCTCCAGGCTCTGAGCTGTCAGCACAGAGCCTGACACGGCGCTCGAACCCAAAAACTGTAAGATCATGACCTGAGCTGAAGTCGGATGCTCAACCGACTGAGCCACTCAGCCGCCTTTTGATTGCAAATTTTAAAACACATGCACTTTCTGCTTTTGCTTGTGAAACACACTTAGAGCTGTCATATACAGCCGAGATCTGGCATACGACGATGATTAATGAACCTTTAATACATTCAGACAGCCTTATGCAACAGGGTTTTAGACACTCGTTGAAGACCTTCCTCCCTAGGTAGCAAAACTGAAAACTCTGCATCTCAGTGGTTTGGGGAAACTGGTCCCAGTGTCTGCAGACTGCCTCCCACCGTGGCAGAACTCTGGCCCTCTGGACACGCTGCCTTACCCTGAGGACCACAAGGGGTTAACTTTCAGCTCTACAATGCAGACCTCTGCTAATTTCACCTTTTGTTTCACCTTCTAGGTTCCTCACGCCCGCTCTAATCACATTTTGAAAAAGATACTGACAGAAAACAAAACAAAAGAACAAAGATAGCTAAAGGGACAAATCTTGGATGCCCCAAAGGGAAAACTGCAAGTCCTTGAGTTTAGACAAGTTCATAGTTGCTACAGGAGGCAACTACAGCCCATTTACTTGATAGCCAACCTGTAGGCAAGCAAGTGAACAGGTAGTTCACCCTGTGATGATGCTAGGAATAGAATTCTGGCCGTTCTGTTTACGTTGGGAACAGCAGAACACATACAACCTCAGGAGTGAGTGCGTGCAGTCTAGCCCCCTTGGCACAGGGTGGCTGTTAAGGTGGCATGAAATAGCCTTTGCTCAATCACTGAGCCCCAAGCATTTGAAAAGAAGAGGGAGAGGGACTATTTTCGAATGAAACAAGTGACTTAATGTTTTCTACAGAAGCCTTAACCAGTTGCACGGTGTACAGTGCAAGATATAAATGTCAGCACTGTGACAGGGGCGTGTTGACACCGGCTGAGCGTTCAAAGTCTGCACACTGTCATTATTCTGCCTTCCCTGCACTGACAGCTTGCTACCGAATTGAACATACCTGGAAAGATGTCAACTTGGCTTACAATGCAGCTCAGTTTCTCTTTGGGAATGTTTCCGTTTCAAGTGTCCTCTAGGATCTATTGGGTCTTGCCATGGATAAAACAGAATTGGGTGTGTTCTGCCGGTTCAAATGTAGATAGAGTAGTAGGAATTCTGTCCATTGATGACTTAGCATCGGTTTTGGAAAAGGGAAGTAATGTCCCTTCTCCCACCAGTCCTCTGCACACCCCCACCCTGCCCTAATCAGTAGATTTAATGCTACCCTGCTTGCTTTGTTGCTGGTTGTATCTGCAGATACACAGATTTTCTTAGGGTTTTATCAAATCATAGTGATTCAACCCTGACTGCACAATAGTTACTTGGGGGACATCTAAACTTCCAAATGCCCAAGCCACACCCAAACCAATTAAATCAGAATCTTTCATGGTGAGACCCAGCATTAGTGTGCCATTAAAGATCCCCAGGCGATTAAAGTGAGCAGCGGTTTCTCCTTCTGAGTCTTCCCAGGGGACAGTTAGGGACAAAATCTCATAGCCACTGGTGTTTTTGAGTGGAAAGCACCCCCTCTCCCCACCTGCCCACCTTACTGCATGGTTGTAAACTGTTCACTGAGGTCTAAAGTAAGTAAGTAACTTGTCCAAAGTCAGAAGTAGTTGAAAGCAGAGCCAGGACCAAGAGCCAGCATTAAATCAGCTGAGGTAGACAGGATTCTAATATGCTAATTAAATTTCCATGAACTAATCAGCTTCATAATCAGGCGCAGTCATACTTCTCCTGAATATCCTGGCTGGGGAACTATTATCTAACACTGTGTTCCTGTTCCTTTGGCCTAGGCTGTTTGAATGAATGACAACCCACTTACTCAGCTCTCATGGGTACTATTCTGAAGACAGTGGCACTAAGGGGCATTTTAAATTAAATTTCTATTGGATAAAGATTTATATACAGTAAGGTGGAAATTCATGGTTGAAACCAAAGCCTTTAAAAATAGGTTTATGCAGGGGCGCCTGGGTGGCTCAGTCGGTTGAGTGTCCGACTTCAGCTCAGTCATGATCTCATGGTTCGTGGGTTCGAGCCTCGCATCGGGCTCTGTGCTGACAGCTAGCTCAGAGCCTGGAGCTTGTTTCAGATTCTGTGCCTCCCTCTCTCTCTGATCCTCCCCTGCTCATGCTGTCTCTATCTCTCTCTCAAAAATAAATAAAATATTTAAAAAAAATAGGTTTATGCAGGAGCGCCTGAGTGGTTCAGTTGATCAAGCATCTGACTCTTGGTTTCCGCTCAGGTCATGATCTCACAGTTTGTGGGATTGAGCCCGGAGTCTGGCGCTGGGCTGACAATGCAGAGCCTGCTTCGGATTCTCTCTCTCTTCCTCCCTCTCTCTACCTCTCCCTCACTTGAGCTCTCTCTTTCAAAAATAAATTTTAGAAAAAAGATCAGTTTATACCACTAACTGACAGAAACTCTTAGAACAGTTACTTTCATTTGAAGGGATCAACCATGTTCTTTTCCTAACCCTAAGTCACTCTTGAAGTCTTAATTTGCCTTTAAAAATGCACCTTTTCCCCTTTCTTGGGACTTCTGGAAGAAGATGCTTTTATTGTTGTAATTAAGCATAAAATGAGCACATCACATTTCTTGCACTGTTTTTAGCTAAAGGCCACTAGGTTTGGGGGACTCTTAGCATACAGCTGACTTCTGCTGTGCATATGACTTCAGTTTGTTTTCAGTGCAAAATAGCTAGAGGGAGTAGCCAGGGTAACATCCTGGCTAGGCTCACCATTGCTATATTTTGGGGTTGTGCCAAATTTTCTCCTGCTACTGCTGTTACATACTTTCCCAATAACCTCTAACTTGTAATGTATGCACATACCTTGCTTTAAGCAACAGATAAAGTTTTGAAGAGCAGAGGGTAAATTATATCGAATCATAGTTGACACACCCTAATAGAGTGCTATCTAAAACATTGTTGAGGGGGAAATCACATACATTTATTTATTTATTTATTTATTTATTATTTATATGGTCTTTTCTTAAGAGTTAATACTGTCAGGTGTGGACTGAACTACAGCTTCTTTCCCTAGTCCTAGCTAGCACTCTTACTGTTCAGTCTTTCTAGAACCGGAACTTTTCTTAACAGATTTGACACTGCCCAGATGCTTGCTCTGGAAATCAAGGCCCTTCTGTGTTTTCTCTGACTCTGGCTTGGCTTTGGAAAACCTCAGCCTCTTCCCTTGCAAGGGCAGTTCCTTAGGATGGAAATGCAATTGTTTTCCAGAATTCAGCACAGCCAGGCACACCCAAACAGATAAAGGGCTTTGGAAGAAAGAAAAAGAAGGAAAAAAAAGGGGGGGTGGGTACTGTGTATATATGAGGACGCTGAGAAAAGGGGACGGCTGCATGCTTTTCCTGTGGTGGTGGTAGTGGTGGTGGCGAAAATATCTTTTCGTCGCAACGCTAAAAGGACAGCATAAGCATCTGATACCCCCTGCGCTGTAAGGACTAGGCGGCGGGGCCTTTGGGCAGCCACCGGCAACCTCGCCCTGGGAGGGGGCTTCCGCGCGGGCGTGGGGGGCGGTACAGCAGTCCCCGCCAACTTGGGGTGCGTGCGGGCGGCGGGCAGGGGTGCGGGGGGGGGACCGCCGGCGGCCCCCCCGCGGGGAGGGAACGGTTCTTACAGTCACTGCTCAGCGCGAAGGGCGCGCGGCGGCGGCCGAGGGAGCGGTCTTCGGCGGGCACCTCGGGAGGCCTCTTACCGGCGGGCAGCGGGAAGGCGGACGCGGTGTGGAGCAGCACCAGGCAGACAGCCACGACATCCCATAACTTCATCTTAGAGTCCCGTCCGGCGGCGGCACCTGCGCGGGCGGGGAAGAGGACCGGCGAGCGCGCGTTAGGCCGGGGCGCCCCGGACGCGGCACCCCCGCGGGCCTGGTGCCCCCCTCCACCCTCGTCACCGCCCTCCTCCCCGACGGCTGCAGCCCCGCGGCTCCTGGACGTCCCGTGCCCTCCTTCCAAAGCCCGTCTTCGTCCCAGGCGCGGCAGGCTCTCAGCCTCCAATTTACCACTGCCCTTCTCTTCTGCTACCGGATCCCTGGGGTCCGACTTCCCAGCGGGGCCGCTGCCCCTGCTCGTACCAGCGCGACGACAGCACGATACCTGGCCAGCACGACGAAACCAGTCCTGGCGCCCCCACCTCCCCATTCCCGGGGGACGGCGAGGCAGCGGTCACACTGCATCCTCAGCCCTTCCGGGCAGCTCCCTTAGGTCCAGGGAACAAGCTTTCGACCCAAGCACAGGGCCAGCTTTGCATTTTAGGAATAAAATCAAGGTCGCTGTGCCTGGGGTCCTGAGCCTGCTCTCAGCTGGCTGCGGAAGGCTTGGTGCAACCACTCACTCCACCCCAGCGATTCATTCCTCCCACTTATTTATAGAAGGATTTTGTTGCTGAAGAAGAAGTTAGTAGGGACTTGGGGACTTTGGACCTGAACGGAAATACCTGCGCTGTTACTTCCCAAAGCATCAACTCGGTTTAAATTATTACTTCCATCTTCTAAGGTTATGAACATTAAATAACGTATGAAAGACCTAGAGGAGCCTAAAGCAAGAGCTCAATAAGTGCTCCAGCATTGCTGTTAGGTAGGGGTTGCATTTGTCTCGAGAATTGTAATCCTTCGTGATATACCCTCCCACGCTCTGTCTTATTTTAGCAGTTTTGCGAGATTCTGGCCCCAAATCCCTTCACCTCCCAGAGGAGCCTCGAGCTCCCCATGCCCCTGTCACGGTCACTCCAAGACGATTGTACCCCGCCTATGACTCTGCGGAGGCGCGCGGGCTCCCCAAGGCCTAGCCCACGAAAGGGTGCGGAGCTGGGGCTCAGTTCTTCTCAGGGACGGGGTTCCGTTTGGCTTCTCAGTCCCCAACAACGGAGACAGGCGGACTAGCCAATCGCAGTCGGGGGCGGGCGAGAAAAAGGCACTGTCAACTCGGGGCCATGCCCCAGCCGATAAGGAGGTGGAGGAGACCCAGGCACCTCGGGGTGCGAGGTTACTTAGTGACTTCCCAATGCCAGGGTTCCAGTTTCCAAGGGAATTCTCGAGTGGAAACTACGAGATTCATGCAACTGATTATCCCCTCTCCCCCAGATACGATTCTAAGGAAACTCTCCTTGACCTTTTCCCATGGGGGAGAGTAAGCGTTTCCAGGTAAAGGCAAAAACTTCGGCCTTCCACACGTCTATACGTTCCCAGGCTTATCCGCCTCCCTCCCAGCAGCCCTACCTCCCCCCACCCCCATCTCCACCCAGAACTCCCGCCCAGATTGCCTTGCAGGCCACCCGGGGAAGCGTTTAATTCGGCCTCCACCTCCCACCGCTGCGGAGACGAATGCATTTTCCATCCCTCGAGAGTCTGCTCGCTAAGCAGCTGTGGGGCTCGGGGTGTTTGCAGGGGCTGGGAACTCCGGGCAACCTGTGGCTCCGGGCACCTCATGCCGCGCTGGCTGGTTTACAAACCCGCGGGGGGGGGGGGGGGGGGGAAGCAAAGGCTCTGGGTTCTGGCGCAGGGGCCCAGACAGCACTGCACCCACGCCGTGCAAAAGGAGCGCACAGGAGAGGAAGGGGGGGGGGGGAGAGCCGAGGCTTCCCGCCCCCTCGCCCCGGTGCCAGCTCCAGGGTGCGTGCGAAATGGCTGGCGGCCCTGAGGCGCAGGGAGCCGCGGGGTTAATGCGCCATTCCAAATCGAGGTGCCCGCCAGCAGGAAGAGACGGAGGCACCAGATTTCCCTTCCGCATTAAGAGGGTTTTTCCTTTTTTTTCCTGTTTGGCCGACAGAGAGCTTTTTAAATTGGATGTGGAGATCCCCAATTATAAGTGTGGAGAAGTTGGCAAAAGAGGAAACAGTGGAAAAGTCGCCGCTTCGCCAGAGGAGGCTCCCGGCTCCCGTTCCCGCCCGCGGCCGGGGGCGGCGCAGGCCCGGAAAGCGCTCTCCCACCTCCCCTGCGACGGGGAGGCGCGTCCTTCCCTCGCAGCCTCGGCCGGGCGGGCCCTACTCCGAGCGGCTCTTTAGTTCCCCGTATCTGCTGGACGAAGGGAAAGGTGGGCGTTTGCGGCCTGAGCACACGCGGTGCTCTACTTAGGACGCTTTTCTTAGAGCCCATCTGGGACCCCCAACTCACCCCTCCCACCTCGCCGCTTCCCCGTTTGTCTTCTTTTAGCTTTCTCAAAGCACAGCTGCGGGACGTGTTTCCGCTGCAACCAGCAGCCTTTGCTGCGCGCGCGAATATTGCTCAACGCGCTGCCCGGTGCGGTAACCACGCTTTCCTCCCGAAGTCCGCTCCGCCAGGTGCCCCCGCACGCATTTTTGTACCCACAGGCCGCCTCCCCGCTGCGCCCGGCCAACGCGCCCCGCAGGGAAAGGGCGCGGCGCGGGCGCGCGCACCAGGTGGCCCCAGGCCCGTGGCGGAAAGGGTGCCTGCAGAGCCGCAGTGCCCGCAGAAGCCGCCGCTCGCGGTGGGGCGCTTCTGGGTTCCCAGCACCAGGGGGCACCAGAAACCATCCGAGTCCTGTAGCGCCCACGCCAATGAGAGGCTGCGGCACATTAAGTATAAAATCGGCGAACAAGCACCCCCGTCCCTCCCTCATTCCCCCCAATTCCAGATTACCCCCGAAAATTCCGGACGTGTTCACCAGCAGGCCTGCTCTTCAGGCTCCTCCCCTCCATCCTCTCTCCAGTTTTCTCCTTCCCACCTCACCTGAGCTGGTTTCTCAGTAACCTTTTAGAATCCCCCCTCCCCCAATTCCCCCGCGTCACCGTGACACTTCCCCGGGGGCGAGTGCCCCCGCCTCCAGTGCCCCCGCACCTTCCTCTGTCTGGCAGGCTGGGAGGTTTGTTTGGACTCCGGGAGAGAAAGGGAGGCGGGGTGGTGGGGGGCGTGCTGTAACTCCGAGGTTTCTTTTTGGGGTCGGGACAGAAGTTGCTGAAAGATGTATTGCTTTTTTCTTAAGTGTGCCTCGTGCCCCAGCCTGACGGAGGACTCATTCCCCCCGAACTGTTGGGCCCAAGACCAAGGGGGGAAAGACGGACGTGTTCTGCGTGCAGTCTGGGGAGAGGTCTCCCTGTAAGGGGTCCGAGGCCGTAATCCAGGTCCGAGGGGCAGCCGAAGCCCTTTCCATAGTGGGTTGGGGACGCTGCGGGTTCCCTGGACACCTGACACTTGCTGAAAAGGCGACCCTGTCCCCAGCCCCGCCAAAGCGAAGGTGTGGCTAAACAGGGCGCGAGACTTGGTCCCCGCCGGGCGGAAGCCGAGCGGCTCCCACTTTGAGGGCTTTGCAAGGAGAGGTGCGTGCGTGAAGTTGGAAGCTGCATCTCTTCCTTGGAATACTTTAAGTGTACATTCAAAATACTCGACTGTGCAAGAGTCGAGTACGCTCTAGCACACCCGCGGCAGGGGCCGGAAGAGTTGTGTTTGTCCCCGCCAATGAGCAAAAATGTTGGGAGCAGGGGGTTGGGCAGCAACCCCCCCCCCCGGGGGCGCGCACGCCGGCTCTGCGGGCGGGTTTGCCACGGCCCACACTAGGGAGGCGCCAGGAGGCTGGGGGGTCCGGTGAGAGGCCGTTCCACTTCCCCGATGAGGGTTCGTTCTCACCAGGTGGGTCTGGTAAGCCAAACCACGGCGCAGTCAGCCCAGAGGTGCAAGGTAATGGTGGAGGGTGTTATTGGGGAGGTGGCACAGTACAAGCAAAAAGAGGTCATTAAAATAATCACTTCGATGGCCTGGCGGAGACATTAAAGAGTTTCAAGAACCCGACTGAGGCGGAGACCCAAGTCCTGGACTGTCCAGGCAGCCCCTCTCCTAACCTCGACGGGCATGGCTAGTTGGGGTTGTGGGGATTATCGAAGTGCAAGCAACCGGGTTCCGAAAAGGGCGAGCTTTGCAAGACGGCGCCTGGACGAGGCTAGCCCACTGCTTTTAGGTTCTCAGCACCTTTGCAGCAGTCCCTTCCACGGTGTGCGCCTTCCCTCGGAACTGACCCAAAACAGCTCAATAGTAAGTTATACTCCAGGCTATGGTACCTCTGCAGCGGCACGTCCAGAGAGGACATTTTCTGGTCGCGGTGGGTTCAAAGATGACCCCAAACCCGCACCGTCCTGGGGCTTGACAGAAGAGCGCCCCGCCGAGTCGGGGAGGGAAACGGACCCTCTCGGGCATTATGGGGGTCCACAGGCATGGGGCACCAGCGATCTTTGCCCACGTGGAAAGGCAATCGGCATCTCTGCAAGGCTAGCCCCTCTCCCGTTCAACTTCTCTCTCCTCTCTCCTCCCGGCGCCTCGGTTCCATCCAGTCTTTCCTCTTTCCAACCTTACCGCCTGCTCTGGGGTCCGGCCGCGCCCCCTCTGCCCTCCGCGCCCAGCAGGCCGCCGCGCCCTCCCGCGACTCAGGAGCCACCCGCCCCCTGCACCCCCGGCCCGCTCGCCCACTTACCTCGGATCCGGTCTCCGCAGACCCCCAGTTGGACATTAACTCCAGGAGCCCGGAGTCCCAGCCAGGAGCCCCATCCGGGCCAAGGGCAGGAGCGCAGAGCCCCGCCCAGCAGGTCTGGGGCAAGAGTTCGAAATCCTGGGGCAGCGAGGGAGCGTTGGAGGCGGCGGCCAAGGCTCCCGCCGCCGCCGCCTCGAGAAGGGCGAGGGATGCCGACAGCTCCTCCGCCGATGCCCTGCACCCCCAGAAACCGAGGTCCGAGCAGCCGCCGCTGCCTTGAGTGGGGGAGTGACACGGCTGCGCGCGCCGCGCTCTTGGCCGGGGCTGCGCGGGCCCGGGGCGCGGCGGGCGGCTCAGCGGTGGCGGCCGCGCTCTGCGCCTTCTCGGGGCGCAGCGCCTGGTAGCACGAGATGGGCCGGGCTGATGCTGCCGCCGGAGCTGAGGTCTGGCCTGGAAATCCGAACGAGACACCACGTCAACCGGCGCGGGGAGTCCCGTGAAGACATGAGGGCGCCAGGAGCGCAGGCTGGTCCTTGAGAGCCCGGGCCGGGGGGCCGGGGGGGGGAGGGGAGACGCGGGGCCCCGAGAGGGGAGGGGTCGAGAGGCGGTTGTGAGGGAGCGAAAGGAGAGCAGCGAGGCGGCGCCCGAGCTCCAGAGGAGAGGGATCGGGGTGCGAGTGGGTGACGCGAGGCGCTCCTCCCCGGGGTGCAGGGAGAGCGCGCTGAGCGCGTGGAGACGCTGTCGGGCTCACGTCTCCTTGCCGGGTAGATCCGGAGGAATGCGGAGCTCCGCGCGGATCAACCGAAGGGGGCAATCTGAACTTGACCGCGGCGCCCGCGCCGGGCTATGCCCCCGCACCCCGCGCTGTGAGGGAGGGCACTCCGTCGGGTGGAGGGCTGCACGGGGCCTTCCTCGCGCCTGTCGAAGGCTTTCCTTCCTTCCCGGGGGGTCTAGCCCTCTCGCTTTTCTGCAAGGCAGAAGGTAGCGGGGAGGAGAGGAGCTGCTTGCTGGAGTCCTCCTAGCACTACGAAGAGATGTGGAGCGGCCCAGTAAGGGAGGCAGAGTGTTTGCCAGGAGACGCTGAGAGAGGGGATGAATTTATAGGGCTCTCACTCAGTGACGTGCCCTCCAGTGGCTTTTCTGATTCGCTTTCTGACCTAAACACACATTAGTTTAGTCCCCATGCTAGGGCCAACACGGTCTCCAAATACCTGCTGGCTGAAGTCAGAGGCTTTGCATATCATGTATTACATGGCAGGCAATGAAGAAGGCTTCTGAGGCTGGCCGGCTCCTCAGTCCTAGGCTCCATTTTCATGCTGTTGTAATAGAATACCAGACGTGGGGTAGGCACATACATTCAAAATCCCAATTCCAGAGGGCTAAGATCATTTTATCAGGAACAGGTCAAGGGAGGTTGGGCTAAACCTGCTTTTATCCAGGTTTTCGAAAATGCGGATGGGAAACCGAAGGGAGTACTCCAGTGGGTGCTGACTTTCCAGTGCGAGCAGGGACTCAGCTCCCATTCCTGATCTCTGTGAGACTTTTTAGGCATTCCTTTTGTTGGTTAGCTTACCACCAGGAGCAGCCAGAGCCTTCTTTTGTAGAGGACATGAGGAGGGCAAGTCCTTACATACACCCTGCGCATGACTCTCCCCATAAATACATTTCATTCACACAGCGCATGAAATTAGCTCTGCCTTTAAAATAATGTACAAAATAAGGTATGTCTTTGCTAAGCAGAAGCCTGCTTTCTGGAAGCCATTGGACCTGAATTCGGTGGGACCTCTTTTATTGTATTAGCTGGGGCCAGGGAAAGGGTAAACAGGCTCAGTTTACATCCATGTATCTCTTATTGTATGACTCATCCGGTTGTTGGTTGTTGGGGAGTATGTGTTCTTCAAGTAGCGAATTCAGACAATAGACAAGGGAAATGTGTGGCAATGTGGGGAGAAGATCATGTATTATTAACCTTCTTAAAAGTCAAGGATCAGCTACTTTGGAGGTTTGTCAGTGAAGCTAGTGTGGGAGGAAAATTGTTCTTACTAATGTTCCTGTGATTTAAGATGAAGCGGAGTGAAAATCAAATCATCCAAACATACCTTAGCTGAAGTTCGGATGCTCACTGTAGTTCCACAGAGTGTGACATTTCCTTCTTTGATAGATTTATGGTAGAAATGTCCATGGGTTTGAGAATGAGAGGGCAGAATAAGCTTAATAGATGCATCTTAGCTCAGCATTGTTTTTGGAATTTGAAGGAGACCCTAGTCAATTCCTACCATGAATGATTTCTTCATTTTCAGAAGCTTTTTCAGTGGGGATGGTCATGCTGTCCAGGCACTTGCAACGATTTAGCATTTGTTATGTGCTAGACCCTGGAATTGTGCTGGCTGGGCCTTTCGGGGTTATAGAGAACAGATACCACTGAGTTTACCCTAAGTAATGGGAGTTTGCTGTGGAAGGAAGGCTGACCGGAATCTCCACCGCTCAGCCACGTGTCTCCGAAAAGCCTTCCGGAAAGGCCACCCAGCCAGGCCTCACGAAAACTGGATTGAAGTTCAGGAACTGGAAGGTCATTCAGGATACGGCTCTGTGACTGGGTTATCTCGCTGCCCCCTGAGCAGCCGGCATCTGCGATCCCTACCAGCAGGCTTAGCCGCCAAGGTGATTCAGATCCTCTCTAGCTGTTTTCCTTTGGTTGTCTCTTGGCTTCTGATCCTGCGACCAACTGCTCAGCTCTCTGTTGATCTC